GGGTCATTTAAGACTATTAAAGGGTCTAATTAGATGAACATTTTTAGTAATTATATATATACTCAAGTTATAGAACTTGGGTTCTTATTATATACTTAATTTGTGATTGTGAAAATTCACATGGTTATTATTTTATATTTACGTTGATATTGAAATATCATGTGTAGCCTTTTTTTTATAAAGTTATATGATTTAAGACAAATTATAGAGAATCACAATGTATTTTACCTTATCTACCAACATGAAGAATGTATTTTGTATGTTATGTGCACAAAAGGTTAAACTATATATGTTTCTTTATCGATAATTATGATGTGTTTTATTTTTACTTATAATAATAGTAATAATATATTTATATTTTATTATCAATGTGGGCATCATACTTTATTTGTTATATGTTGTTATCTGTAAATGATGTATTGTTTGCTTTGATGAATAAAGAATTATAAGTATGTTGCCATCATCATGTGTTAAGTAAATGCATGTATGTTGCTATTTATGAGTTAAATATTGTTATCATTAGTAAAGAAATATAAGTATGTTGTTATATGAGTAAATAAATACAAGTAGATTGATACTATGGGTAAATAATAAATTATATTGTCTATATTGGTAAAAAGAATAAAATGCATAGTTATTTCCAACAATTTTTCTTATAAATGTTTCTTTAGCAATAATATCAATGAGGGTTGAGCATTAGTCGGTTGCGACTATTCTGTTTATATATGATATTTTGGTTCAATTTATTTAAGTGTAAATAAAGAAGAAAAAGTTCAATCATGCACATAAACAATCAAGAAATGATAGTGAATGTGCTTATGGATGTCCTAAAAGCAAGATTTCCAATCTCAAAGCAAATAGATCCTTATCCATTTATAATACAAAGAAATATGGCCATTGCTTGCTTTGAAGTACATAAATTCATAAGAAAATATAACATTTGTGGAAAATTATTTATGGAGCGCGATGAAGACATAATATTTAACATTTTTTTCATATATATATATATATATATATATATATATATATATATATATATATATATATATATTTACTACTTATAAAAGAAATCTAACTATTTCTATAAATAGATTGAATATAATAATATTATTTTTTTAAGACGTACAAACGATTAAGCTAATATTACAAACAACCATTAATAAAATAATATTAAATTTTAAATTTGTTTTGATTCCTTATATTTCTCAGCAAAATCCTAATTTCATGGTCATTCAAAATTTAAAACCTTTTCATCCTAATACGCTTCAACAAATATCCTTTAAATGTTGCATTTGCAGCTGATTAAAATATCTCATAGCAGACGTGTGTTTGTTCTCTCCACCTTATAAACCCTGCTATAAATCCCACTGCCATGAAGTATTTCCCTTATAAACCCTAATCGTTTTTCTCCCTCTCTTAGACGAAGACAATGTGTTTTTTTTAAGAAAAAAAGTTTGAAAATATTCCAATTTCTCAAAAAAATTTACCCCAAATGCGAAACTGGGTAAAATTTTCCATTTTGCGAAGACTACAGGGATGCGAAATGAAAATTCTGCACTTTTGTCTTTTTATGACCCCATTTTGCGAAGTTGGACCACTTATATTATTTCTTGAAAAGATCAGGTGCCAAATGCGAAACTCTAAGCTTTCTTCCCCAATTCGCATTTATACATTAAAAACTTCGCATTTTCATTCAAATTCTTCGCATCTTGCATCCATCCGTCTTTGAGTTCATTCGCATTTCATCGCATTAACTGAGAAATTAATCAGTTGTCTCATATTCGCATTTCAGTTGTTTGAGAAACCCAGATACGAACCCAAATGCGAAACCCACTGATTTCAAATGCGAACCAACCAAAAATCATCAACCACGTACTTGTGTCACCAAATGCGAACTGAATATCACCATTAAATTCTCCTCGCATTCCATAGATGCGAACACAATCCAGATCTCCGACTCCAAGCTTGCGAAATCAAAATCAATTAACCTCAAACAAATCGTAAACTTCTTATGCGAACTGTTTTGACCCACAAAACCAAATGCGAACTCAATTGATGTCATATGCGAACTGATTTCATAGATGCGAACACAATTGATTTCATATGCGAATCCACATCCATCGATATGAAACCAATACCAGTTACAAGCAATTAGTAGCAACAACCATCGATCCTCTAATTTTCAATTACTCAGCCTTCGCTTTTCATACAACCCGTCGACCCTGAAAAATCGATAAACACCAAATGTCTCATTTTTAGATCGATTTTCTGATTAAATGTCATATTTTAAGAATGATCGATTTTCTGATTAAATGACCCCATTTTGCGAAGTTGGACCACTTATATTATTTCTTGAAAAGATCAGGTGCCAAATGCGAAACTCTAAGCTTTCTTCCCCAATTCGCATTTATACATTAAAAACTTCGCATTTTCATTCAAATTCTTCGCATCTTGCATCCATCCGTCTTTGAGTTCATTCGCATTTCATCGCATTAACTGAGAAATTAATCAATTGTCTCATATTCGCATTTCAGTTGTTTGAGAAACCCAGATACGAAGCCAAATGCGAAACCCACTAATTTCAAATGCGAACCAACCAAAAATCATCAACCACGTACTTGTGTCACCAAATGCGAACTGAATATCACCATTAAATTCTCCTCGCATTCTATAGATGCGAACACAATCCAGATCTCCGACTCCAAGCTTGCGAAATCAAAATCAATTAACCTCAAACAAATCGTGAACTTCTTATGCGAACTGTTTTGACCCACAAAACCAAATGCGAACTCAATTGATGTCATATGCGAACTGATTTCATAGATGCGAACACAATTGATTTCATATGCGAATCCACATCCATCGATATGAAACCAATACCAGTTACAAGCAATTAGTAGCAACCATCGATCCTCTAATGAGGAAACAGTTTCCTATTCGATTGTGCTTTGCAATGACAATCAATAAAGCTCAGGGACAAACAATTCCATATGTAGGTATCTATCTTCCAGAACCAGTATTCTCGCATGGACAACTTTATGTTGCATTGTCCAGAGGGGTTTCACGTTGCAATACAAAAGTATTAGTAAAGCCTAACGAAAATTCAAAAGGTGATGGGGTTTATACAGCAAATGTGGTGTATAAAGAAGTATTGCACGATTAATATTTTGTGTCGTCTTGACTGGTTGCTTTTTATTGGTTATTTGATGCATGATGTAACAAATAACACCATAGTTTGATTATATTGTCTTCAACATGTACTTTTTTTTAACATAACAATTTTGTAATGGAAACATATCACCGAAAGAACTCACGTGCCCCGCCGCTTTGCGCGGGTAGACGGCTAGTATGTATGTATATATATATATATATATATATATATATATAGGTTATTTTGTTTTTACTAAGTATTGTGTGCCAGAATGCACAGATCTGGACCAATGGATGAAATTAATCAATGGATATGATTTGAGAGTGTATGATATTACAATGGGGTAACATGTAGCATATAATCACACAATTTTAAGCAAAAGGGTATTTTGGACAATTAACTACATTTATAAAAGGAAATTTTCGGATTTTTAGGGATGATTAATTATCCTAATTTAAAAAAAATCTGAATTTTTTAATTAATTCAATTTCAATTTTTTACCAATTTTATTCTGTCAGAATATTTTTTGTTTAAATGATGCTCTTTCAGAATTTTATTCTAATAGAATATTGTTTTGTTAGAATGATAGAATGCAAACCATAAACTAGTAAATATATTTTCGATTTTATTCTTGCAAAATATATTTCCAATGCAAATATTTGATTTGAGACATAAAAAACAAATTCATTCATATTCGTACAGACTAATATCCTTATACATTTAAAATAGTTATACATATTCTAAAAGAATATCATCAAAAATGAATAAAATTCTTAAAAAATAGCATTCTTGAATATACAATTATTGAACAAATACACTTGATCTTCTTCAATGGTTCGTATAATCCACTTGATCTTCGCATATATACATGTTGTTGAACTCGATTCCAAATATTTTTCTTGTATAATCAATATTGAATTCCTTCTCTACGCAATTCTGAAAGAATAAGATACATTACTCGTTAGTATTATCCGTTAAACAAATATACTAGTTAACAAACATTCGTAAAGACATTCTAATAGAATACATTTATATAAATAAATTCTGACAGAAAACATTACAAAATGCACTTAAATAACATTCTTTTAAAAATCTTTTGTGAATAATAGGCATCAAATTGATGATTGTTACTAACATCATTCTGAAAGACATTCTGCAAGAATGATTCATTTAAGCTATAACTAAAAAAACATACTATAAATTCTAAAGTACACAATACAACCATTCTAATAGAATGTCGCAGACATTGAAATTCTATGAAAATACATATAAACAATTAACCAAAATTCTATCATAATGCATATAAACAATTAACAATTCTAATAGAATGTGGCAGACATTGAAATTCATTTACACAAGTATCTGAATTCCAATTGAAATTCTTACTAACAATTAACAAATGGTTTATTTTTACACCAAATAACATGATCATAACCAGTAAAAAACCTAGATTTCAACTATGCATTTTATCGAACACTTGGTGTGCTTCTTCAATTTCTTCAAAAAAAATTAGTGAGAGTCTTATCAATTCAGTTTCTTGGTGGTCAAGAACTCGAGATACAACTAAAAAAACATGTTATGATTAGTACAAGAGCATACCAATTCAGTTTCTTGGTGGTGTCGTTGACGACCTAAAATCCACTGTTGCCTTTGTTTTCACCTTCTTTTGTAGACTCCACAACAGGCACCGAGAACCTCTTCACTACCATCTGTTGATGTTGCTTTTCCCCGATTTCTGTTCAACAGATTGATTTAGTTCAAACACAAAATCAATTAATAAGATTAGAATCGATTTTGATGACAGATGACTCGATTAGCGATAAAGGATTTCATGGAATCAATATTTTCCTCATCCTCCTCCTTCGAATCGGTGAATCAATGGAAGTGCTTCCCGATTTCTGATTCCAATCGTGCTTCTCCTCCTTAATCCGACGAAGATGAGCACAGGGGGATCTTCCCCTTGATCTTCTTTGCTGCCGACGACGGGAGAGGAACGAAGAACCGTTGAGTGCCTTCCTTCGCATCTTCCGCCATTGAAGAATTTTTCAATCGCATCTTCCGATTGGTGAACTAGGAGTGAAAAAGGTTTGAGGATTCTGGAGGTTTTATTAGACACGATTTAAAAGAGAGGCTAGGTCAAATATACTTATTCTATTTCCTTAATTGCAAGATTTAATTAAATGATTTCCTTAATTAAAAGTATAAAAGGTCCAAAATACCCTTAAATGATTTATTTAATTGTTTATTATTTCTTGAATTCTCATTGGTGCATTTTGGCACACAATACTTGAGAAAAACATTTGAACCTAGCTTATATATATATATATATATATATATATATATATATATATATATATATATATATATATATATATATTCAACAATTAATTTGAAGAAAATGGAAAAGAAGAACTAGATTGAACACACCGGGGCACTCTAAGGCTATAAAGAGTGCTTTGGAGATTCTTACGCATAATTTTCACCAAAGAGATACCACATCTTTCAAACGCCCACCCACATTTCACCAAGATTAAAAAATGGTGGTCAATATATTCTCACTAGTGGGAAAAGAGAGATAATGGGAGTGTTTGGCTTATTTTTTGGAAAGTCAAAAATTTAAAAAGTTGTTTGGTAATTGGAAAAAATCTTTTAAATTAACTTTTTGAGAAGAAGAAAAATGAAGCTTTTAAAAAGTCAGAATCTGTAACTTTTAGCAACTTTTGTCTTTTTTCCTTTCCCCCCCTCAAAAATTAAAACAAACACATTTTATAACTATCCTTTGGAAAAATATATGAATCAAAAAATTCTTTTCTAAAAAGGACTTTTTGGTCTGAAAAACTATCCCAAACACCCCTAAAAGTTACAAAAAGACAGCATTTTCTACTTTTCCAAAAAGTCACATTTTCTTATATAAAAAATCAAAAAGTAACTTTTAAAATGGTTTTATCAAACATCTTTTGCATTCTATCTTTTCCAAAAATAACTTTTGACCCATCAAAAGATAAGTCAAACACCCCCTAAGAGTGAGATAGAGAGGGATGGAGGAAAGAGAGAGATTAAGAAGAGCGTAACCACAATCACAAGAGTTCACAATACAAGAGGTTGGGGTGGTGTTTGAATGCAACTCACACATACCTAACTCGTAACAAATTGAAGTCCTTCGTATAGCCCAAGTGCACAATATATGTTTAGTGTGCATGATGAAATTGCTAATATGATGTAACATATATATTTTGATTTAATTTAATTATTTGAACATATTTTATAATTATGTTTAATTTAAGTTGCTTATCATGTTATTTTAAAATTATTTACTGTGATAATGTACACTTTAAAATTTATAACGATTATCAAATATATGGTTATTTTGTTATTTGTTACCGTTTAAAGGTAAAACAGTCAGACTTAAGTAATACATTAAATAGAAAATTTAACACTTTTTATATCATCAACACTTTATCCATTCATATATCATCATCATCCATTCGGTACACTTTATGACTTATATAGTCATTTTGTTATTTGTCACCGTTTAAGGGTAAAACAGTCAGACTTAAGCAATACATTAAATAGGAAATTTAACACTGTTTATATCATCAACACTTTATCCACTCATATATCATCATCATCCATTCGGTACACTTTATGACTTATATGGTCATTTTGTTATTTGTTACCGTTTAAGGGTAAAACAGTCAGACTTAAGCAATACATTAAATAGAAAATTTAACATTGTTTATATCATCAACACTTTATCCACTCATATATCATCATCATCCATTCGGTACACTTTATGACTTATATGGTCATTTTGTTATTTGTCACTGTTTGTTGATTTTTAATGACTGTAATGAAACTTATTCGGGCTTTGAGGGAATGACTAAGTAATGCATAAAACCCTAATTACCTAATTATATCAAATTATATATAACATATTTTTTTAAAAATAATAAAGCTTATTGACATCCCCACTGCATAACCAAATAACCAGAAACCCGATTAAGGTGGTGTAGCAAATTATATAAACACATTAACTAATAGAAATCATTAAGCACCAACAAACATCAGAAATCTCAGGTTCTTAATTCAAAAAAATGAAAGCCAATATAATAATAATAGATATAAAATTCAGCTGTGCCATTGTCAGAAGTCAAAAGGAGGCCTTTATCTAGGAGTCGATCTTCCTGGAGGTGCTTGCATCGGGGGGTACTGCATCATAATATTCACAAAAATATATTGTTACTGTTACTGATACTGATACTGATACTGTTGGATTAAACATCATCTTAGTTACCTGCATTGTATAAGGCGAGCTTTGTGCCATAAAACCAAGAAATTCTTGCTTCTTGAATTCAAAATTGAACTTCACATGAGCCAACATCGCTTCTTCCCTTTGTATATCTTCCATCATCCTTTCCCTTTTCCATTTAAACTCCTTCATCTCCTTTTCAACTTCAATATACTCCTCAGGTAAATAAGAAACCCCTGAACTTATTGGGAATCTCACTTTCACCTCTTCTTCCCTACAACAATTACACAATCAAAACACATTCATTAAAAAAAAAAAAAAAAAAAAAAAAAAAAAGTTTAGTTCTGGCTTACCGAATTGTGCCAAGAGAAAAAACACTACAACTTCTTATAATTCCTCCATCCAATGAAACGGCTCCATCATGTATGCAAGGTAGGGCTTGTAACATTTCTGCCCTACTTTTATAAACTTGTAATCGCGAAAACAGAGTATAAAAAAGAGTCTCTCTTAAACCTTTCCCTTTGTTTGTTAGATAAAACAAATGTTCGCTATTGATATGAATCATGTTCACAGCAAACCCCATAAATCCAGCTGGCGTTTCACCATTTGGTAATGTTGGTTTTGAAAGAGCAAGCCTCCTTTGCGCATCATTAGCTAGAAAATCACCATAATATGGACTAAATCCATAAAAAGAAAATACTGTTTGTCAAACTAACAACAAAAGATTTGATTTGAAAAAAAAAAAAAAAAGTAAATTTTTTTTACACATATGACATACCTCATGTTTTCAAGACATATGACATTATATCGCCCTTCCAAGATTTGTCCTATAGCAGTTCCAAGCCCTAAAAGACCTGAACTTTTATTAATACAACCTTCTTTGTCATAAGATTCAAGAGCTTTCACACCATCATATGTCATGCAAACTAAAGCCAACATGTTATCTTCCCCAAGATACTCTGATAGAATCCTGTTTGTTCTCCATCATAAACATTTAAAACCAATAGTTAATGATGATGATGATTTCTAGAAACATGAATCATCACCTAAAACAAGACTGAAAAGTCAAACTTACCTGCTAAGATTATCATCGTTGACTTTTCCTAAAGTAGCTACAACACCAAGAACATCTTTGATATGAGTAGCTTGATTGCAGTGACGTTTAAGCTGGCACACAATAGCAGCAGCTGATTTTTCATTTTTCATGATATTTTCAATTGTGGCCTCTTCAGTCTGCATGTGTGAAAGATCCCCATCTTCTATCTTAGGTGCAGATGAGGAATGATACTTTCCCAGAGTAACTAACAGAAAATAATAATAATAATAATAACTCATGATTCGAATGAAGAAAACACATCAAGGGTATTTATTATACCTTGCATATCTGTAATCACATCATCTAGACTGTTCTTATGAGTCCTTAAATACTTGATGTTTTCTTCATGTTGTTTAATCTTCTTTCCTAGCAAGAGCATGTCGTTCTCAAGTTTCTGAAAAGGTTAATAAAACGAAAGTTAGTAATTTGTGTAACAGGAAAAACAAGAACAGAAATTGACAGATTTGAAATGTCATTAATAACCTTAGAAGGGTTGACAAGAGATTCTGCTCCATTCTCTTCTCCATTCCTTGCAGCATTAGATGTGTCATTTTGACCAGTGTAGTTCATTGCTGATGGAACTTGTACACTTAACACATTTGGACGTATTGGCATCTAAAAAGTTTGACAAGTCGATTTCAATTTCATAAAGAGAGATATACTCATACTCAATAATATGAATGAGTTATAGTTAAAGATGGCACTTGGCAGATTATATATCATTATCAATTGAGGAATCAAACAAATAAACTGAAATCTTAAAAGGGTAAAGCTAGATTTATTCATCAACCATGAATCTGACAACCACAGTCCCCACCCTCTCAAGCACTTCAACCATGATTACCCCTGTATGTTCGTTCATAATCATGATTCCATCAAGAATTCATTCATGGAAAAGCATTGCAATGTACTAACATCAAACCACATATACTTGGTATGTTCTCCTTATGAAAACTCAAATTTGAAGAAAATTGGTAGAAATAGGTTTACACGAGCATGCAAGTCAACAGAGATTGAAACGTTTGCATACAAATGCGCACATACACTGCAATTAAAGTACAATAAACTTGACAAAAATACAAAAGATGCTAGCCTTTTTTTTTTTTTTCAATTTCAGAATGCGAAACTAGAACACGAAATGCGAAACCCTAACGGAAATCGATACCTGTTGGCCAGACGAATACATGGTGTTCGGAGCAAATTGGGGTTCCGGGCAGGTAGATTCCCGTGTGCAATGTGGGAGACAACCCCAAAATCCAAATGATCTCGGTTCGGACAAGTGAGAGCTATGCTATGCTGTGTAAGCTTTGCGATTTTTGAGTACTACTAATTTCATAATTGAAACAAGAGCGAAGAAAGACAAGGCAACTTAACTTTTTTTATTACAGCTCCAAACTCCAAAAACCAACCAAAGTGGGTATTTGGCCGAGCTTAATAAAAAAAATAACAATACCACACCTATATAAGTTAATAGATTGAATGTTTGGAAAGACGGACTGATTTTCAAAAACAATTTACAGCGGTATCATAGAACAGAAGATAAGTCTTTTGATAAATTATTAACCCTTAATTTATCAAAAAAAATTATAACCTATAGTTATCCAACATCTGTAGAAAATATTTTTTGATCATTTTGCAAACACTAAAAATGGTTTTATCAACTTATAAGGTTTTGAAACCGGATAAGTAAATCCAAATGTTTTTAAAAAAATTCCTTCTTAACACCGCTATAAGCTAACAAACTATAAATTAATATTTTAAATAAGCTTAACCAAACACCCTCTAAATATTTGGGCAAAGCATTAAAATCACAAAGTATGGTATTAGTAGGTGTTATTATAAAGAATCATTTTTTTTATGTTTATTACAAAAAGAGTACATAAAAACTTAAAAAAAACACCCTCATATCACTTTAATTTGTTAGTACAAAAGTCATATGTGATGTATGTTTAGATTTATCTATATAAAAACCCATAATACTTGGGTTACATATTGTAGTTCATATATTTATCTAACTTTCAAATATATGGTATATAATTGTATTTCGTATACTCTTCACTTTTCATTAATATTGTATTTTTTTATCTAAATCTGAAAATGTCCTTAGGATGATCATCTAAGATTAAGTTTCTTTAAACTCATGCATAAAGTAGAAAAATATGAATTCAAAAATTAAACTTACATAATTGTCATATCCGAGCATTCTACTATTATCAAATCCCCTATTTTTGTATCCACATAATCTTTCTATGAATTGATTAATGAAAACAAAATATTATATTCATATGTATATTAGGGAAAAAAATAGATAGAAAGATAGTTATTATGTATTATTTAATGTAACAATCAAATATTACTTAAATATAACATCTTGTAGCCCTTAATATAAAATAAAACATTTGTAATATGTGATATTTGTAACCACTAATTTCCACCAAATATATCATCCAAGAGTTTAGGGTTAATCGTCAATTGTCTCTCAAAACCTCTAACCTGTCATCTTGGGTATTTATACTCTCTTATAATTATCTCTTTATTAACTTAAAATTAAATGTAATTATCTCTTTTATAATTGACACTTAAATCCCTCAAAAATAGTACTTTCTTGACCATCACCAAAATTTCTCATTTATCTTAAATAAGGTCAAAGAACTAAAAAGAGCAACGTTATTTGAAATCTCAACATCACAAGAAGTTTTCTCTCATTTATCTTAAATAAGGAAACGACTAATAGCTTCATGATTATCTTTTGGAAAGGAAAAATGATTTGTTAGGAATTTTAGAAGGAAAAGTATTCATATCACAGCTCTCATTTATTGACTATGAGTCTATAGTTTCAAACAAGCCAATATATATATATATATATATATATATATATATATATATATATATATATATATATATATATATATATATATATATATATATATATATATATCCAAACTATAGTGTCATCCAAAAGTGAGCTAATCTAAAATAAGTTTATTTACATACCTAGACATATAATGTTATCCAAAAAAAAAAAAAAAAAAAAAAGTTCCATAATCAGTCCCTATGCTAGCTAGCTAAGGAAACTTTACATATATTTGTGAGATGCATATTCCTACCATAAAATTATAACTAGGAGAAGGGGGTATACGACCCTGCTACCACAACAACCGGCTTCTCCTCTAAACAGAAGATATAGGAGACACATGAGTGGTGGTGGTGATAATCGCTTGGGGTTGGTTTTGGTTGCGTGTGAAATAATTAGCATAAACATCGCGTCTCTTTTTGTACTTTTTCTTAAGCTTTTCAAGACTTTTATTTTCAGCAACCAACTCCTCAACTGTCCCTTTGAGTTTCAACTTCAGTTCATTATACCTCTTCATCACTTGCTTCACATTTGGAGACACCCCTTCATTTCTCATCGCACCCACAGCCACCGGGAATATAATATCCCCTTCCCTTTCCCTGAACATATATATAATAATAATAATAAATTGTAGGATATTTAATTTCTCAATTTATATATCAAAATAAAAACCAACCATCCGAGAGACATAACGCCGTTTCCTCTGAGTATCCCTCCATCCAAAGAAACAGCACCGTCTTTAATTGACGAAATTGCCCTTCTCATGTCCTCTCTCGTTTCATAAACTTGTGTTTCACCAAAAAGACGATAAAACAACGTTTCTCGAAGACCATAACCAGATTCGGTCCTTGTGTTTAAATAATCAACATCTATGTCTATCAGATTTACCGCATAACCTAAAAACCCTTTTGGAGTTGTCCCATCGGGAAGGGTAGGATCCGGTAACAGAAGCTTTCCTTCAACATCTTTGTCTGCCTCGCATGCCCTGCCAGATCACAATAATTACAGTCATGCCACTGGCCATTGAGATTTTAAAACTTCTGAGATTCACTTATGGCACCTTATATCTTCGATGCATATAACACCGTAACGACCGTTTATAGGTTGTCCAAGCTCTGATGCAAACATGTGAAGGGCATGTGCACGATTCACCTTCCCATTCTTTTCATATGTCTCCAGTAATATCACATGTTCATAAGATTTGCATACCACTGCAAGCATTTGATCACCGAGATACTCTGCAAATATCCTGACAGAAGTTCCAAGGTAATAAAAATAAAATGGTGTTATCATGTAGGGTTAAATGAAGAAGAAGATTCACCTGCTAAGGTTTAAGGTTGGAGCTGTTCCAACAAGTGCTACAACACCAATAATTCGTCCCAGTAAAGTTCCAAAACAATCTTCTTCATCTTGCATCTCTGACATCATTTTGAAGAGTTTGATGACAACAGCAGCAGCGCTCCCAGTCTTGCATTCAATCTTTTCTGTGATCTCATCCTTCCCTGGTGAACCGTATTTGTATTCGCGGGTAGAAGAACAACTTTGGTAACGGTATCTGGAAACTGCATTTCAAAATCCAACATTACATTTACATTTGCATTATTTCATTTCCAATCGTCTGTTAACAAGATTAATTAAATTACCATCCAATTTTGATAGTTGGGACTCAATCCCTCTTTGTTGATATTCTAGTAGCCTTATATTCTCTTCATGTTTACCAATCCTCGTGCCAAAATCAATAAGCTCATTTTCAAGGTCCTGAAGGAATAGATATGAACAATTTTTTACATAGAATATGACACAAGAGTTGGCAGTGTTAGTGTGCATACCCTTTGGAAAACAAGGATGGATTCTAATTCGGCTTCTATTCCATCTGCATAAATGTGTTGGACACTTGTACAATCGGTGGGGGTGGGGGTATTTGAGTCCATTAGAGGAAAGATATTTTCATCTGGAGACAGATGTTTCGCATTAAGAGGCTCTATCACTTGAGGCATCTCAACGTGGACCTACATGTAAGAAACAACACTTAAATCAGTGGTTCAGAATTTTTTTTATTTTTTTTGAAAATGACGATTTTAACCTTAATGGTCAACTTGAGATCCGGGTGGCAGGCATGAGCAACAACGAAACTAAAATCACCTACTATTTCAGAAGGAACAGGAACTGCACGAACTATGCAACGCCCCTCACGGAAGCCATATTTCACAGATTCATCAACATTGTGTGATTGTGATTTTATTACAAGGGTATGGGATTGTCCACTTGTATCTTCATCATGGAAGTTTACATCCACAACACCTTTCGAATCCACAACTTCAAATTCCAGGTTTTCTAGGTAGGAACCAGCAAAACAGGTTTCAGGTATCTGAAATCATCAACAACATACATTATTATTAATTATCATTTGCTGCTAATGAAATTTGGGAGAAATTAAATCAAGGGTTTCAGACCATTGATACAGTTCTCAGCTGCCTTTCCTCAATCTTCCACTCCTTCATGATAACGGCTTGTCCATCCGATCCAACAGACAGTGATACTGATGACAGTTGACTTTTCAAATCAGAACAACAACATTTGAACTTAAAATACTTATCGAAAATCATGAGACTGTTCCTTTTTTTTCCCATCAAGTCATGTATGCATACAGTGCCTCTGAATGGATGATGATGTCTGTCTCAATACATAAAGCCAGTTTCTTAGTAGATTTGTTTCTTTTCTGGACAAAGTGAACCGTTTGGATGAGACTAAATGACCATTTTACCCTTACATGCGAAAAAACTAATTTACAATGCTCATCAATTTTTAAAGTGAGGGAGGAAAAAAAGAAAGTTAAAAGGTTGGTTGTTTAAATGAAATTAACTTGGCTTAACACGTGAAGCCATTTTCTCCATATTAAGTCAAAAAGAAACAGCCCCTAAGTTTAATATAACAAAAGCCATTAAACAGATTACAAGTATCATAATACAAACTAAATGGATAGGAATTTAAAGTAGTATACCTTTTCTTCCATAGCCTGCTGTAACCCTTAAAAGGCCACCAAGATCAATGCATCCATCAGCATCCACCTTTTGAGTTATATATTATAATGACAATTTGCTAAATATCAACAGCTTATTAAAAAATCTTGCAAGAGGCACATACCTTCTTAGCAGAAAATGATTTTTCCAATGAGGTAAATCCATCCACGCTTAACTGCAGCTTTTCTTTTTCTGGTAGATGATTTCCAAACGCATCAAACAACTGAAAAAGGGTGTATGTAGAGAAAGTTTAATACGATAATTAACTATAACTAATAAACAAAAAAGGTTGCGGTTGACCAGTTGTTGTATGGAATTAAACTGGGTAAATAATAATAATATACCTCTAAAGTCAACTCTTTAATTGTTTGGCCTGGAATCAATTGCTTCTCAAAGTTTTCTGGTTGCACTGTCACACGTGTCAAGGATCCAGGAAAAACTAATGCAAAGAGATGATCAAAAAAAAAAAGTTAACCAATGGATTTCTTCCAATGAATGATAAATGGCAAACATAAGAACACCTTTGATAGGGATTTGTAGCATGTGGGACCTATCAGGCCGACATAACATCAGAGTGGCATCATAACTCGGTCGAATACTGTCCAAATTAGAGCTCCCAATGATCAAACCCTTGAGTATGAGAGCCGACATGTCGGATGATATAAATGGGCTCCATTTGTGAACTTTAAGGTTAACACCCTTGTTACATTCCACCTTGACCACTACTTCAGGAACTTTTAAAAATGGAATTTGATTGGAATATGTATCAAACATCGCAACAAAAATAGGCTGGAAACAACGACCCACCCTAAACAACAAATAAGAAACACACACACACACACACACACACATATATATATATATATATATATATATATATATATATATATATATATATATATATATATATATATATATATATGAGTTATATTAGATTTTATAAAAACGCACACATAAATTATATTTTTCTAACGTGAAATTATAATCAGGAAGCTTCTTGGCAAGCGCCCATTTGTGGACCTCACGCGATGCTCCAACTTTGACCTTCACCACATGTTTCTCACAGCTTGAATCTCTCTGATGATAAGAAATATGTAAATACTAATCATTAACAAAAACCATATGATTGTAAAACCATGTGGTTATATATACATCAAAGCAATTCAATGTTACTCACAATGGAAAAGGTGAATTTATAAATTCCAGCTTTTTGAAACAGAGGATGGGAGTTGCATTTTGGTTGAAATATATATAAACCATGCAAATCCTTTCGTGATGAAGGTGTTACACGTCCTGAATAGATATTTCTTTCATTTCCATTTTCAGAAAATGTAACTGATAGTGACATCTCAAAGTTATCTTTCATCACATATTTTTGATCTAATTCTTCACACGCAATCCCAGATTTATAAGTAGCAGGACGAATGACAGCAACAATGTCACATGGTGATACATGTGAAGCATCAACTTTATCCGCATCTAGTAATGACTGTAAGAAGAAAGTGAGGAAACATCATCACCAATCAAACATACATTTTTCATTTTTTTTTTTCACAAACAGGACAAATGACAATTGATTGGAGGAAGTGGAACTAACCGAATCTATTCCCAATTTCAGACATTGTCTTCTATTTAGTATCTGAATCGATGATGGACATTTCTGATATTGCTTCTTCAGTTGGTTATCCCATTCAGAACCATCAACAGCCAAACACTAGTGAATATATCATTGTTCAAAAGGTAGTCATTTTTCTCAGAATTTTTTAACAGAAAGCATAACTGCAAGTAGACCAAGGGTTGTTTCTTTCTTTTTTCCCTTTAAGTCCTGAATGGGTGATAATATTTGTCTGGATAAAGTGTTTTATACATAAGGTCTGTTTATTTTCTACACCTGTCTTAATGAGACTAAATGACCATTTTATCCTTACATTCCAAAAAAACAAATTCACAACATTCATCAATTTTAACTTGACAGGAGTTGGGAGAAAAAAAAAAAAAAAAAAAAAAAGGACAACTAGGTTAAGAGGGTAGAGTGTCGTAACACATTAAGCCATGTTTTTTTTGGCTTAACCGATAAAGTCAAGTTGTCCAGATTAAGTTAAAAAAAACAGAAATGTAGAGTTGTCCAGATTAAGTGCTTAACCCATCAAGCCCATTAAGTTAAAAATAAAGAAACATCCCCTAGGGTTATAACAAAAAGTCCTAACCTTTCCAGAATCAATGACATTTATAGGTACTAATTCAGATTTTCGCAAATCAAAAGTGGGATTTCCATTAGCAGATTCAAGGAGACAGCCATCTTCTTCTGAAACCTCAATCCGCCTTCCAATTTCCAACCAAGAGTATTGTAATTGTAAATTTGAACCAAAAAAAACTGTCAGATACTAAAAAAAAATAGAATAAAATAAAGATGATATTATAAATACCTGCATATTATCCATGCTTCACCAGCATCCCCTTGAAATCCTTCAAGAATGATGTATTCCAATGTAGCATAGATATTAGTTTTGTGGAATCCAGCACATGCTCCTTTTAGAATCTTGATTTTCTGCCCTGAATCCCAAGATTTTCCTTTCCGCATTACAGCTTTGTGAACCCTAACAACTGCAACCAAAACCAACATGAGTATCAGAAAATCACTGCCATGGAGTCAATTTTTTTCAAATGCTCACCATTGTTTGTTATGTGAAGCTCCTTGTTTGTAAAATTTATTATGAAGACAGGCTCATCAATTCCACAGTCGACTTCCTCATCATATTTTTCATGCATTTGGACAAGCCACTGTTGGTACTGCTTATCTAACTGCAAAAGGGTCAACGGTTTTCCATCTCTTCTTATATCAATGTGTACACCTGTTGATGAACCTTTTTAGGGTTTTTTTTGTAATTTAATGTTTGGCATCATGTTTATACTCAACTAGAACTAAATTCAATTACCCATCTCTTTCTCCAGAGGTTGCTTGCTGCCCAAGGTTTTCAAGGCATTGACAAAAGGGCTCTGATGCGCAAAATCCGTCTAGAAAAAGAAAAAGATGAAAATGGACATAAGGTATGACTGTGTACATTTAAAAGTGACCAAAAATGGAAGCAGAAAACACTTACCTTAGAAGGTGTTGGATTGAAGCCAGCGTCCGTCTCTAGAAATCACAAAACTTAGGGCTCAAAACCTATTGATAATGAAAAGAAGTGCAAACTTTAAAAGAGATAAAGAGAAGATTGGATATAATACCAATAAAACATTTAACTCTCATGCAACTTCTCTTCAAAACTTGTGTTCTGTGCCCTGGTCTTTGTCTGAAATCCATGAATGGCAGCCATGCCTAATTCAAAGGTAGATTTGGTTAAATTTTTAAATGTTAATTCTTAATTTTTATTCCTAAAGGTGTCATAAGTTATCATTCCTCTCAACTCACCCAACGAGCATCTGGAAGTAAACGACCAAGTCGTCTACAAGAAACATGACTAAAACTTCCAAAATCTTCTGCGTACCCATATCCCTCTTCTTTTAAAGTTTCCAGAATGTTCTGAATGCTCTCCTTGCCCTGTTATTTAAAGTTTCAGGGGACAAAGTCACAAAGTGGTAGAAAGTAACTATTTCTTCAAAAAAATATCATGTGAACTTGTATGAAGTACATATATTCATATATACATGCACGATTCAAAGCAGTACCTCTTTAACTGGAAGATAATAACATTTCAGACGTGCATTTGCTTCCTCGCATGATCTTGCTCCTGAATAAATAGAAAGTGAAAAATAAAGTTCATGGCTAAAACTGAGTTACCAAATTTAGTAATCTCAAAAAAAGCAAAACCTGGACTACTTGTAGCGGTAGCTTTGTCATGATTCAGTTGAAAACGAAGTTGCAACAGAAATTCTGGACCATTGCATGTATTCAGATTTGTAATTGCTACCTCTCCACCTGGAATTTCTGCTAGATTGTCGCCATTAACCTACAAATACAATTCTCATTATATAGGTAAATATTATATGGTAATTAATAGTACACAAGTCTCATAAACTTGAATTAATAACAAATGTAGTTCGCTATTAAGTAAAGTACTTGCAACAAAAGTAAAGAACAACCAACTAAAGTACATGCAACAAAATGCAACCTGAAATTCAATTGGCATTATTGTTCTTCCTTTCTTGGACAATTCATCACACTGTAAACAGGAATGGTGTTATTTTTGTAATCCAATAATACAAATTATATCATCCATGTGTCATGTATAAGCCAAGAAACCTGGATATACGGAAAGTAGATATCCTTCAATTTGCATTTGAGTTGCCTTATGTCTATATTCTGCTTCTTGGGCTCAAAAATATCAACCTGTTCAATTATAGTCAGATAAGTTCAAATTGGGATCATATTCTTTGAGAAGAGATGATAGTTACCTTTGTGAAACTACCACCTGGAGCTAACTGAAGTTCATCCTTCATAGGGTCTCGAAGCCTACCATAAGTCTAGATTACAATGTAGAATAAGGAAACAAACATCAGATAATATATAACAGATAAACAGATAACAAATAGCAACAAAGAGTTTGATTACCCTCCATGTTCGTTTTGAACCTGAACCAGAACCACTAACCAGAGCTTCCCTCTCAAGTCGCAACATATAAACCTTTTTGGAATCCTTTGTCTTAGAGGAAACCTCTGTGTGCCTACAATAAGATAGCAACAGAACGACTATCAAAAGTTAACAAACAAAATACCAAATCTAATCAATTCTACAGACATACCTTCCTAAATGCATCGAAGCAACAAAGCCACCATATCCAAACATGCCAAATGCAGGCTGTACTCACCAGAAATAAGTCTACAAGTTAGAAACAAGAATATGGTAATATTCAAGACAACAAAATTTTGCTATTTACTTTCAGATATGGAGGTTTCCCTCCTATAGCTTGGCCTTTGGAAGACCGATGAAGGGAGGCTCCCATCTTCCCCCTACAAAGAGAAAACAGATAGCATAAAACATGTGCATGAAAGCAAGAAACAAAGCAATGAAACAGTTTGAGGATTAACATCTTACCACTTCTCTATTGACAAAGAGTCCATGCCTGGGCCTGTATCAATAATAGATATCCTATCATCTGAAACCTCCACACTGACAAGAAATCAAAGTTATATGAAACAGTAGAAACCAAAATCTTATGAACAATTCTTGCCCAAAAGGTACCACACAGGACTCTTGTACCTTATTAACCTCGTCTCCTGTTCACCATTAGACCACACAGCTTGCAATGAATTATCCTATAGTAAAGAGCATGACATGAGAGTCTTGAAGATGGGGTTTTAAGGAAAATTAATAAACAAATATCATTTCTTACAATTATATCAGCCAATGCAGTTTCAAAAGTGTACTCTTCAGGGAGCTCCTTAAGTAACTCTGTGTCTGGTGTCAAATCCCACATGTTCTAAAGACAAAAACAAAGAAAGAAGGCATTACATTCGGGAAATATTGTGAAGCAACAGAATACAAACCACAGGCAATCAGGTTATATATAATTATTCCCGAACAAACCTCATAAATTTTTGCTGGCTGAGACCCATCCTGTTACAGGATCATTATAAAGGAATTACAAACAAGTTTAACAGATAAAACATGAAACGAAATAAAGCTATTTCAGAATGAAAACAGGGACTCACATGAAGTCTCAAATTGTAGACGCGATTGGGCTCTAATTTCGTCAACGTAAGACTGTTCCTAAAAACATGATCGGAATCGTCAAGAAAACATAACTGTGCATTCCAGTTAACTTGTTTCTTAGGGCTAGATGTCTTTTGCACAGCTTTAGCATACTCATTCCTCACTCTACCAGCCAATTCTTCGACAGTAAGACGCTCAGTGCCTTCAGGAATTTTCAACACGACAGTAACCCCATTCGGCAAAAGAATTTTCAGGTTGTAAACTCTCCTTGGACCTGATACATCTTGACTAATTACTCCCAAGGAATCCGGCTTCCTTCTCTTGAATCGCTCAACGTCGGAAGTCTCATTTAATCTCTTTTGTGGCGTTAGAAGATGACGATCACCGTCCATCTTGAAACGTAACGCAGAATAGAAAGTTTTCTCTTCGGAAACTCAAACAATATCAACTTTTGTGTTTCCGTGACAATGTGACTATGAGTTAGAAACTGCAAAAATTAACAGAAAATGCAGAAGTTCGCGTCAGAAATTCGAAGAACGATCAACATAATAGAAATGTAAGATCACGAGAGCAACAACTGCTCACTGAACTGCGGATGGTTGTGATTTTGATCTTAAAAGTTGAATTGCAAGAAATCGATTATCGTTTGATTATTAGAAGCAACGAAAATCCTGAATTGTGTATGAGAGGAACGTGGTGTACAAGGGTTTTACAGGAGAAACGGAAACGACCATAATGGAGAGAGCAGAGTGTAGGAGTGTACGACTTTCAGAATACGCCTGAACGCGGCTAAAATAAGCCCGGTGTAATCATTCCGCAGCCTGTTTCATATTCCAAATCCTACCAATATATTTTTTTTACCATATTAAATGAAAAGTTTTTATTTTTTCAATTAAATATAGCATTTTATCATATCTTTGCTCATTTAATAAAAGTTGAGTTGCATTTAAAGCAAAAGAAAAACTCTTAAAATTTTGAAAATTTTTCTATATAATAATTTAAAAAAAAAAAAAGAATAGCTAAAGTATCCTTATAAATTGTTTTATTGAATTTTAAAAAAAAGTTGTAAAAAACATTTTTATTTGTTGATATATATATATATATATATATATATATATATATATATATATATATATATATTGAGTTTTTTTTAATTGTTTAAGTTGTCATTTAATCTCAACTCTAATTAAAATTATATTTATTGTTAAAATATTTGCTTAACTTTTTAGCAGTAGGATTATTTACCAAATAAGAAATACGAATTTATACATGGTTGTTAACTGTTGATTTTTTTTTTTAAATGATAAATATAATCTCTTTCTGTTTTGATATATGTTTCATACGAGAAATGAATCCTCAACTTTAAAGAATAATAACATCATCAAATATCATGAAGCTACAAACTCATTGGTATAAAAAAAAATTATTTCTATTGGATCTCATATATATATATATATATATATATATATATATATATATATATATATATATATAGTATTAGTTGTTAAAGATATGAATTTAGGTGGTGATTTTGTCACACAAATGTTACCAACTGTATGCAACTACCGTATAATCATACTTTTCATCGAATACAAAAAGTAGCTTATGATCCATCCTCGTGGTTTGAAGAAATTGTACTCGTAGTCATTAGTCTAGATAAAAAGACAATATTACATTTTATATGTTGTTTTTTTCGTTTTTCTTTTACTACACATTTACAATATTAATAATAACAGTTAATAAACGGCCCACCTAAACCTACCTCACCCCCTCCCCTCCCCCATAAATAGTGTCGGTAGGATGTGACATAAAGTGTAAGATTCTCCATAGTCTAAGGGTTTATATTGTAAATTATGTGTGTCGTTTTGCAATCAAAAGATTGCAACCGGCTCTTTCGAGCCTATAAATAGTTTGTCCATATGAAATAAACAAGTTAAGTTTGAGTGTTTAAGACTTCAGTTGATCTCAAAGTTCTTCTCTGTTGAAATAGTTTGTCTATTTCCGAATAGTAGAGCCCTATCCAAACTATCCACATAATCATTCAATTATTCAACATAATCCATCATCAAGACAATCCAACGCATTATTCAGGTATAATCTTATCCTAATATTCATTTATCCGTCATATCGTTAAATTTGGTATCAAAGCTAAGTATCGTTCTTATTATGATTATGAATGTTAAATCTTTCGTTCATATGAATAAATGTTCATCATGCATCATCATATATATTCTTATGAATATTCATCGTTACAAACATTCATCGTTATAAGTTATTATCATAAACTCATTATTAAAATCAAATACTACTATCCACCTACAATTTAAACATATGTCGGCAGAAGGTTTTTTACAATTATGACTATGCACCAAGAAGTTAGAAACACATTTCATATGTCAAAAAAGTTTTTAATTCTCTGACTGCATCATAAATATAATAGTATTAAAAAACCCCACCATCAACATCTTATTAGAATTTATAAATCGTAACTTTGAAAGAAAAAATAAATTATCATTTTGTTTCTAAAAATTATAATCATGAGTTTTTCAAGTTTAAATATTAACAAATAAAAAATCTTGAAGATAAAATAACAAGAATAATTTATTAAATATGTCTCAAGAAATAGAAAATACACCAATCATTATTAATAACGAAGAAAATTAATCGGGATACACCTTTGATGCTCTAATTAATAAAAATAATATTAATAAAAATGCTATAAGAAAATCAAATTTTACACTATCTGAAAAACATAATTTTAGATATAACTCATTGAAAATTTTATTTTCTAGAAAAAATATTATATATTATGGAAAAATTATAGGAGAAGAACCAATACCAATAGAATCAACACAAGGAAATATTATTATACCAATAATAAATAAACAACAAATTAGAAATAGATTATCTAATATTAAAGAAATAGATAGAACAAAATCGCTTATATATGAATATAAGCATATCCTCATTCCCAAAATATAGGAAGCCTCTCCGAGGTCCTTCATAGCGAAGCACTTCCCGAGCCAGGACTTAACCTCTTGCAGAGTCGGGACGTCGTTTCCTATGAGTAATATGTCATCGACATATAGAACGAGAAAGCTTACTATACTCCCACTGTCTTTGACATATACACACGATTCATCTTCGCTTCGTACAAATCCAAACTCTTTGACTTTCTCATCGAAATAAAGATTCCATCTGCGAGACACTTACCTAAGTCCATAAATGGACTTCTCAAGCTTACACACTCTATTCGGATGCTTCGGATCCACAAACCCCTCTGGCTGAGCCATGTAAACATCCTCAGCCAACTTCCTATTAAGGAAAGCGGTCTTGACATCCATTTGCCAAATCTCATAATCATGAAATGCGGCAATTGCTAGCATCACTCTAATAGACTTTATCTTCGCAACTGGTGAGAAGGTCTCATCATAGTCAACTCCGGGAGTTTGAGTAAAGCCCTTCGCAACCAATCGCGTCTTATACATGTGTACTTTTCCATCCACATCGGTCTTCTTCTTGAAGATCCATTTACACCCAACGGTCTTACGTCCGGGCACATTATCAACCAAATTCCAAACTTGGTTATCATACATGGATTGCATCTCGCTGTCCATTGCCTCTTTCCATTTCGCAGACTTTGGGCCTGCCATGGCTTCCTTATAGCTATTAGGTTCATCAAGGTTTATTAGTGTACTATCACTAATATACGTGTCCCCTTCGGTAGTAATATGAAAACCATATAACTGGGGTTGAACTCTAACTCTTTCGAAACGTTTAAGAGGTAATGATATGTCAATCGGTTCAACCGGAGTTTCCTCCTCGGGTTGAGTGCCAGTGGTAGAGGTTCCTTCATCTATCGACTCTTGAATCTCTTCAAGCTCGATTTGCCTCCTACTGTCTCCTTGGCCTATGAGTTCTCGCTCTCGGAAAACTCCTCTCCTCGCAACAAAGACAACATTGTCCTTCGGTCTATAGAAGAGATATCCAAAGGATTTTTGCGGGTATCCGATGAAAATACATCACTCACTACGAGGTTCGAGCTTGTTGTGAGTATCTCGTCTTACGAAAGCCTCGCAACCCCAAACCTTGATATGTGCTAATGAGGGAGCTTTCCCTGTCTACATCTCGTGAGGTGTTTTGGCAACCTTCTTAGTAGGGACTCGGTTAAGGATATGGGCGGCAGTCTCTAAGGCATACCCCCAAAAAGAGATAGATAGTGAAGCACGACTCATCATAGAGCGAACCATGTCCAACAAGGTTCGATTACGCCTTTCTGCCACACCATTCAGCTGTGGTGTCCTAGGTGGCGTCAATTGTGAAACTATTCCACACTCCTTGAGATAATCGTGGAATTCAAGACTTAGGTATTCTCCTCCTCGATCGGATCGAAGCATCTTGATTTTCCTGCCCAATTGATTCTCCACTTCATTCTTGAACTCTTTGAACTTTTCAAATGTTTATGACTTTTGCTTGATTAAATAGATATACCCATATCTACTATAGGCATCGGTAAAAGTCACGTAGAAGTGGTTTCCATCCTTAGTGGTATATCTTAACAGTCCACACACATCGGTATGTATGAGGTCCAATAGACCCTCACCCCTTTCGCACGTACCAGCGAAGGGTGACTTAGTCATCTTTCCAAGTAAACAAGACTCGCATGTGTCATCTTCCCTAAGGTCGAATGACTCCAACACTCCATCCTTTTGGAGTTGGGCTATGGGTTTCTTGTTGACATGTCCAAGACGACAATGCCACAAGGAGGCCTTATCCATTCTATGCATAAAACATCATTTCCTAAGTTATCAACAATCATAACAGTTTCATAAATTCCATTACACGGTATTGCTTCAAAATAAAAGACACCATTTAGATAAGCCAAAATAGAACAATTCTCATTATTAAAAGAAAATCTAAAACCTTGTCTAAACAAACCATCAAATGAAATGATGTTTCTAGCCATTTATGGTAAATAGCAACAATTGTTCAAATCTAAAGATAAACCATTCCTAAGCACTAAAGAATACACTCCAATCTTGGTCACAGGTGACGATTTTCTGTTCCCCATGATTAGATTTATTCTTCCATGCTCCACATCCCTATTTCTTCTTACTCCCTGCACATTAGAACAAATTTGGTAACCACAACCGGTATCAAGAACCCAAGAAATAGCATGAGATGAATCGTTAGGTTTAATTGTGTATATACCTGCGAAAGACGGCTTGATCTTTCCTTCCTTGATGGCTTGCAGGTACTCTGGGCAACTTCTCTTCCAATGTCCTATTTTATGGCAATGGTGGCACTCTGCCTCCTTTGGGTTAGAAGTAGGCTTGGTGGGATCAACTTTTGTCCCACTAGATGAGGAACCATCTCGGGACTTTCCCTTGCGGTAGCTCTTAGACGGAGCCTTTCTCTTCTTGCCTCTTCCTTGCCCAATGGCCAAAACAGGAGCAACGGGTGGATTGGGAGTTGGTGCAACAGACTTGTCCTTGAGATTGCTCTCAGCAACCCTAAGGAGACATTGGAGCTTGCTTAGGGTGACTCTTCCTTATTCATGTGGTAGGTCATCCTAAATTGATTGTAACACGGCGGCAAAGAGTGAAGCACCATGTCGATCGCCAAGTCTTCCCCAAAGTCAACATTTAACTTGCGAAGTCGATCGACATACCTTTGCATCTTTTGCAGGTGCACGGTAAGAGATTCTCCATGACCCATTTTGGCGGAAATCATGTTAGTGAAAATCTCGTAACGCTCTTTCCTCGCGTTTTGGTGGTATCTCTCCAACAAGTCTTGGTGCATTTCGTACGGAT